GAGTATTAATTTGTTTTGGGAAACTATGTAAAAGATTTTATGACTAAAAATGTATAAAGGAAAGAAAGGAAAATCATTATAGCATTTGGTATATATTCTCTAAGGTTTTGATTGCATGTTAGTAAAGCTTTGTAATACCTCTGTTATGTAGATATTTTTGCCAACATCTATATATCTTGTTCACAGTGTAAACAAAGCCTCTAAATTCCTTCATACTGGGAAACTCTCCCCTAAATTGTAAGAAATATTGAAAATTATCTACATTAATATCCTGGATTTCACATTAAACATTTTTCTGGTCAGTCCCTCAAAAACATAAAGCCATGAGATGGTGAATAACAGTTGCAAACTGTTTTCCTCTACTAATATCTGTTTGACTTGGAAAGGGGAGGGACAGAGAGAGGAGATGTTGGTTGAAACAGAAGAACTTTTAAGAACGTAATGAAGATCTTTAAACAGAGATATGGCATACAGCTGTAATAAGTCTCTCGGTGGTAGACCAGATCTGCTTGTTTCATTGTAATCTTTCTGGCCTTGAAAGACAAACTACATGATCTTTTCTGTTGTGTAGATTCTGTCCCATTGCATGATCTGAATAAAAGCAGCCTTTAAAAATGTACTATCACAGTGCTATTCTCAAATCATAAATTGTCGTGTCAATTATAATGTGCTCATAGAGAGAAAAAATAATATAATTTAAAAAAAATATTACAGAGATATCTTCCATAACATTCAAGTAAAATATATATATTATGAGTGATTGCTGGTGATGATATTATTGTTAGTAAAGTTATTATGCTTATTACTGACTGCCAGACACTATTCATTATAACATGGGTTGGTTTTAATCTTGCAACTTTTACTGAAAGGGCTAAAATTTGCTATACTAGATATCTGCCTTGGTCCAAATGTTAAGTACAGCCTGAGCCACATGATCCAACTGAGTGAAGAAGGATTTTTTTTTTTTTTTTTTTCAAGTTATGCTCATTGGGAAAGTGAAAGGTATTAGTGTAAGTGACAGCAATGGGTAGTTCTGCCATGAGGGAAGATTCACTGGATGAGGAGACTGAAAATAGATGCAGGGAAAGGGACCTGCATTGAGTTATCTCACCATGATGTAGCACTGGGACCCAGACGTACAGCAGAGCACAAGGAAGAAAACTCCCCAGCAAGACCAAAGAGAGGGTCTGTGTGACTGGGAGTGTGGAGAGCATGGGAACAAGGGAGAAACAAGCTGGACGAGAAGCAGGGGGCAATGGACTGGAGGCTGCCTCAGTAAGCAGTCCAGCAGAAGTGCTGGGAAAGAGCTGGGTGCAGTTAGGGTCGTTTCTGAGTCATCATTTTTTCTGCCATTAGCAGGTAAAACCTAACATGACCCATCGTTCTACAGATCGGGTCTGTGGAAAGTGCTGAAGTGCATTACTGTTTGTTGACTGTGATGCCAGTATTCAGTTAATTGGAAGTCCCCTTTTTCAGTTTATTTAAATTAAAAAAAGGATAGGAGGGAGAGTTTCTTTCCCTTCCTTGACATTCATTTAGGTAGTGTGTCCTTCATTCATGAACAGAAGCAGAAATAAAGAATTAAAAAATTAGGGTGACAGGAAACATGTTGCCAAATATGAGAGGCAGAGAGGTTGGAGTCAGTGAGGTTCAGACAGGGACTCAGAGAGGCTCAGAAGATCAGAGAGATCACAAAGAAGTTGAAAGGCCAAGAGCATCAAAGGAAAATCAAGGCAAAAGAATGACCAGTTATGTGCATGAGTCATCTGAAATGGCATTTGACAGTCCATGCTCAGCACTGCCTGAAGGTATAATAGTATAAAAATGGCATTGCTGTACTACTTACTAAATCTGGTAACATGGAAATATAAACACCTTCTCATGTCTCATTAAAACCAATGGCATTAAAGAAGGATTAATTATGTGAAAGGAAGAGATTTACTAAGGTGTTGTGGTGGGTTGACCTTCTCTAGACACCAGGTGCCCACCAAATTTGCTCTATCACTTCCCCTCCTCAGCTGGGCAGAGGAGAGAAAACATAATGAAAGTTTTGTGCATGGAGATAAGGACAGGGAGAGATCACTCACCAATTACTGCCATTGGCAAACCAGACTTGACTTGGGGAAAATTAATCTAATTTATTACCAATCAAATCAGAGTAGGATAGTGAACAATAAAACCAGATCTTAAAACACCTTCCTCCCACTCCTCTCTTCTTCCTAGACTCAACTTTTACTCATGATTTACTCTTTCCCCTCACAACAGCATAGGGGGACAGGGACTGACAGTTGTGGTCAGTTCATCACACATTGTCTCTGACATCCTTCCTCCGCAGGAAAAGCACTCCTCACACTCTTCCTCTGTGCCAGTGTGTGATGCCTTGCACAGGACAGTGCTCCACAGACTTCTCCAATGCGAGTCCTTCCCATGGGCTTCTTCATGAACTGCTCCAGTGTGGGTCCCACAGTGTGGAGTCCTTCAGGAACAGGCTGCTCCAGCGTGGGTACCCCGTGGGGTCACAAGTCCTGTCAGCAGACCTGCTCCAGCCGGGGGTCCTCTCTTCATAGGGCCACAGTTTCTGCCAGAAGCCTGCTCCAGTATAGGATTCCCATGGGGTCACAGGCTCCTTCCAGCATCCACCTGCTCAGGCGTGGGGTCCCTGCCTGGGCTGCAGGTGGAAATCTGCTCCACCATCAACCTCCATGTGCTGCAGGGCACAGCTGCCTCACCATGAGCTGCATGGGAATCTCTGCCCCAGGGCCTGGAGCACCACCTCCCCTTCCATATTCACTGACCTTGGTGTCTGCAGGGTTGTTGCTCTCACATAGTCTCACTCCACTCTCTGGCTGCTGTTGCCATTCTGCAGTTTTTTTCCTCCCTTCTTAAGTAAGTTATCACAGAGGTGCTATGACTGTCACTGATGTCTCAGCCTTGGCCAAGCAGCAGGTCCATCTTGGAGCTGGCTGGCATTGGCTCTGTCAGATAAAGGAGAAGTTTCTAGAAGCTTCTCACAGAAGCCACCCCTGTAGCCTCCCAACTATCAAAACCTCATCACACAAACCCAATACAGGTGTCTTGGTGCCTAGCTCAAACTAAATAGGTGGTTTAAAGTGCTAGACAACTTCGAGTATCTTACCCTACATGCTCTGTTTAAAATAGGGAGATGGAAGGACAATCTGCAGCCTTTACAATGGATATTTTAATTGTATTTTCACATTTTTAAGCCCAAATGCAATCATACAAATAATTGTCACATTTCAACTGACTAGATATTTTTTAATGAAATTATTTACACAATGGGAATGCAACTGATTCATACAAAAGACTTTGAACAGTTCCTTTAGAAACATTATTCTAGTGAAGTGCAGCTTTTTTGAAGGGAAATTTTAACACAATGGCTTTCAGCAGCTGCTCTCAAGCCTCTGTGGTGCATTGTATGAACTCTGCCTGCAGTACTTCATGCCTCATTTCCTCTAACTTGATATTGCGTATATTTGTTGAATAATCGGTGAAAACATATCATCGTTAAAAATGTTTACCATTCTATTCTAATGGGAATAGCAACAAAAGGGTAAGAGCAAAAATATCTCATTTTACACAAAAAGCAGCACAACTGCACCCTTCAGAGAGGCCTCGCAAGGAACTATGAAAATTATGCTGTTGAGAAACTATTTGGCTTCTTTCAGATTTTCTTACTGCTTCTTTCTGTTTTTTCATGTTGTGGATGTTTGCATGAAAACAAGAGGTCAAGTTCTGCTCTCAAATCATCATAAATTTTAAATTCAACAGTTACGGTAAACAAATAGCAGTGTAAGCAAGAGAAATCCCACACTGGCTTTCTAAGTGTGTTTTATGGCCAATGACCTAGATGTTGGAACGAATTTTTACCCAAACTGCATTGCACTCAGACCTCTGGAATTATACTTCAGCCTGATTTTTAAAGGACAACCTCTCAGTTTTCTTTTCTTTTCTTTTTCTTTCTTTCTTTCTTTCTTTCTTTCTTTCTTTCTTTCTTTCTTTCTTTCTTTCTTTCTTTCTTTCTTTCTTTCTTTCTTTCTTTCTTTCT